GTAGAGGTGAAAACGGCTAAGGAAGTATTGGTAAGGAACAACAAGCAATTGTGTAGCTTGGAAGCCAGAGATAATGGAGCCCATCAGGGTGGTATCTAGGCGTACTGATGTTGGTCCTGGTGGCTTTTTAGTGAGTTTCTTTTATTTGTTTGGAGTTTAGTGTGTGAGCGTGTCCAGTAATCACTTACGTAGATGACTGAATATTATTGCAAATTCATTGATTGTTTTAGGAAAGAAAATAACGTCCCATTGGTGAGGAGTACTACGTCTAATTTCCACGTTTAAATACCATTTTGCATTTTGTGCTTCATTGGACTGTTGTACGTTTCTTATTCGAAATGACATTTTGTTAACTGCGAACTAATTTTGGGTTCAACTGTTGTACTCCTTATGTTTGGACGCCGGATAACCTCAAACTAGAAGATTTGCATCATGTTTATCTGATACGTTTCGCTTAGTAGGACAACAATCTTGCTAGTCGGCAACATTTTGTTATCAATATGATTCTATTTGGGACCATTTGGGTTTATTTTGGATTTGGTCTAGCTTGTTTGGAACACTTTGGTTCTATTTCGGTTCAGTCCAAGATTGCAGTTTTGTATCCCCAAGGGTAATTCCCACGGCACATGTAATGGATAGTAACTGTCCGTTCACTTCTCAAGAGTTTCACTTTTAGTGTCAGCGACTAACCATCGGGTAAATTGTCTCGCATTTATATCTTCCACAATCACTTGGCTATGCAGAAAGACTTGATGGCATTTTGAACAGTGGCAGAGATACACACGAGCTGACATCATTCACAGATTTTTAATTGTGTATCCCACAACTGGAAATAAGTTCAAATCAAAGAAATTATTGCCAGATGAAGTATTTTGTGATCGTTAACTGAGGATATCATAAAGCTTCACAGTTACATTGTAATCACCCTGTTTCAAGATTTTCTAAACTTTCCGACTCATCAGCAAGAAGCAAGAGAAAACTTGATATTATCCTGGCTGTCTATGTGCATTGTTATCGACCAGGACACAGAGTCTTGAATGAAGGCTTTATCGCAGCACGGTGAATCCAAGTTATCTGTGATGTAAAAGTTAGTAGCGTGACATGGACTCGTTGTTACAATCAGTCCTGTAGTCTTAACTCAGATTACAGAATCAACGTAAAACCAACTGTGCTTGTAGACATGCTACCTGTCACTTTTCAGCTGCCCTCAATGGACAGGACAGAAAGAAGGTGAATGTGACTGGTTTCGGACACTCCTGAGAGAACGTAATCTACACCCCACACATGAAGGCGAAGTAATCGACGACAACCGAAATCCGGACAATTTTATATTGACCAAAAGGGAGTATGTCGCTGATCTCCCCTCTTCTTCAAGGGAGAGGCGTAACGCCTAACAACAGACCAACTCAATAGTCTGACAGCGAGGACTTAAATTGTACAAATGCTGATTGCCTAAATATTGACTGGGTAATCAGTCAATCAGATTTTACCATATTGATAGATGCCTAAACCACAAATAATTAATCCCAGCAGTACTCCTTTTGGATTAAACCAAAGCTACGACAGTTAAGTGGCGGGATGAGCTACACAGAAGTTTACTGAAGATCAGGAACCTATACCTCACAATCAAGAGGCGAGCACAAAGAAATCAAATTGGTTTATACTAGCTCGTAAAAACTATATTGGATATTGGAACCTCGTTTGGTTCTAATGGTTGACTAGTTCACTGACCAGTTCTAGCCCTTGAAAAAGAGCAGCTCGTAAGTTGGTCTAGCGACCTTCCACCAAGAAATCAATCCTGTCACTATGGAAACTTCAAATTACAGAAAAAAACATAAAAAACAAACTTATTCTTCGCTGGAATAGGTTAGGCGAAATGATGTGAGCTGGCGAAAGCTTCCGGAAAGATAGTTAGCCAATGTAGCTTCTTCCGGTGAATGCGAAAATAAGCGTGGAGACATGGAGAGTCAGCACGATGTTTGAAGCTTGCAAGGCTATTCTGACCGCAAGAGAAGTGAAGAAGATACAGTGTAGAAGTGCTGTGAAGTCAGATGGAGTGGAAGTGGACTCTCCGGATCGTTAACTGGAAATTCAGTGATCAACGAAAATCACGAGCATAACGGAGGAATGAATATCATGACGTCACTAATAGTATCAGACTCAGATGCGACAGGAACCAACCTTTCCCAAGATAATAACTTCAAGATCCAACATAAAATGAGGGAAACTTACAATTACCCAGTAGAGAAAAGGGGAATTTACAAGTGACTGTAAACAGAATTGGACAAGGCATTGAATTGCGACCTCAAATTCTAATGGGTGTTATGGATGCCTAACTAGGGTCGGAGAGCGCGGGAGATGAAATTATCATGGGTCTGAATGGCCACAGAAAAATTAACAGGAACGCCAAAGACATATGCACCTTCACTGGTTCGGTGACTGGAGCAGTAGACACAAAAACATAGATGTAGGCAAAGCGACACGGCGCTCAACAGATGTGCTTCATCTCAGTCTCGAGGAAATGGAGACAGCCTGCTGGATGCAAAATAGGGAAGAGGAGAAGATTTGGACTCAGACCATTATTCAACGAAAGGAACGTTAAAAGTTAAAATTGAAGCTCTCTGAGAAGCTGGAGGTAGGTGAGTTCAGGCTCAGCACTCAAAAACTTGTTTAACGAAGTTACTGAGGACATTTACAGAAGTCATCAGAGAAATTTCGGAGACATTATTCAGCATCTCTGTAGAAACCTGCATGAAGGAACACTGCAACTCTCTGAAAGCGATGTTTCAGGAAACCTGCATAGTCGTCAGAGGAAGAAATAAAAAACAAGTCAAGGAATGGCCCTCTGGAAATGCGTGGATACTAAGAGTGAAGGGGTTTTGTGAAACGGAAGATGAACGAATGCGAAGTCTGATGACAAAAAGGAGAAGATGAGTCCAGTGTACAAAGCACTGAACAAAGAAGTGGAGAAAACACACTGGCGACTGAAACAGAATGGCAGTTGTGGAGAGGGATCTCAGGACGCTGTACCAAATCACTAGGCTTATTTTCAGAGGGACACAGTTGGAACCAGAAAACACAGATCTGCCAGTGGACACCAATTCTGCAGTGAAGACAGAAGTTTAGGATGCCATAAAGTCAACGGAATCGAGAAAAACAACAGAGTAGGACGGAACCTCCCAGAAGCACTCAAAACCGACCAAGAAATCGTATCAGGCATTCTCGTACCACCACTACTGGAGGTTTGCAAGGAAGTAAAGTAACCGACTGATTGGAGGAGACGACTACATCATCAAACCTTCAAAGTAGAGTGACCTAAGCCCATTCTAGAAATGGCGCGGGATCATATGCCTATCCATCCAAGCAATCGTTTACTCCTACAGGGACTGAAAGATGCAAAATTCTGCCCAGGACCGGCTGATTTCCGAAATAAATAAAAGCCAGCTTAAATTAGAATTACCACTTCTAATGTTCACTCAGACCATCTGTTATCACTGATTATATTCCTCATTGTGGCGGAGCGGATCGTAGGAAATCCTATGGGGTGCCTGAACACAGGAACGCAACGGGCTGAGAAGATGGCTCTAGAGGATTCGGGTTTCGTGGAGGGCCCATGTGTAATGTGGCACATAATCGAAGATCCAGTGGTGAAAGCCAACAAGGCAGATGAAACGAAAGAGATGCGACTTCAAGAGAACATGGAGAAGACAGAGGGGATGAAGGTACCAAACGAACGAAAAAAACCCAGTAATCATCAGCAAGGGAAATTTGAAGCGAATCAATCCTTTCACTCATCTAGCTACCATCATTTCGACTACAGGCAGAACGGATTAATTCAAAGCCGTCTAGGATCGGAAAAGACAGACAAGCATTTATTAATCAGTCTGGTGGTTTATCGCACTCGACAGAAGGAATAGGATCAGAATACTCAGCACTAATATCAGGTTAGTAGTTCCATATTCACCAGACATTTATCGCGTAGGTTGCTAAGAGCACTTTCAGAAGCCTGTAGAATTTCATCAGCACGCTTCGCTGGGTGCTATAATGAACTGTGGGTAGGATAGAGAATGTACTAACCATACCTCTACAACAATTTACCTTCCAGAGGACGAATTTCTGAGGAAGTAAATATGAGAACAAACAAAACGGCAACAGCACATCAGGAGGTATTTTCGGCGCCACCGGTTGAAAAAATTGGCTGCCAAGTTTTCGAATTGCGGAAGGTGATATCATCGAGTGCAAGGTAACTTCCACTCTTCAACCGTAGTCATATCTGTCTCAGTCATCACATTCGAAGTCATCTTATTAGCAGTTAAGCCCATATATCTGTTAACCTTTGACTGGAACCTTGGTACTCTGTTGTGTTGAATGAACTGCGTAATTTAAAAATACTGTCAAGAATCCACACCATTCGAATCACTACTGTGTAATTACTCTAAGTAGCGAAGCATATGTATCTATACAGTAACATTTATCCTTAAATGTACACCACGTTTTGACGGTGATGTTGTCATTCCACTTTTGATAACTGTTCCCGGCTTGATGTCACAGAATGAAGATTGGATTGGATCACCATCTGCACCCTACAGTTACTTAAGTGACATAACATCACTTCACACAATTCATTTTCTAGACAACGTGTTCTTGTCACATATTGTCTTCCCGTCTCTACGTTACAATGGAAATGCACTGCACCAGTTAATTTCTCCTAACATTGTCAAAATTTTAATTGATTAACTCTTAATGCAGAAATATGGGACGTAAGATTAGCGGCGCGCGAATGCATTAATATTAGCGGATATAAGATGACAAACACATGCATGTGTCTCGAACATTTGGTTATTTTAATAAAAAAACATGAAAGGGGAGTATTGAATGACCACTTTGCATATAATGACATGATAACTTTTCGATTATTTCCGTCTGGACAGTATCGCGTAAAAAAGCAAATTTTTGTTTTGCTGCATCATTTTAATAATATTTGCTATTGAGTTGGTGTTGAGTGACCTGAGGTAAACGCGCTGCATAGGAATATCTCGGTTGTTTACAGTAGTAGCTCGTATAAAATGAGCAGGATTATTACTTTCTAGAATGAGGTGAGCCTCTACATGGAATCTTAGGCAAGTGTATATTGCTATCAGTAGATCCTGTCATGTAATTTCTACTAGAGAACGTTACTCAGTCAAAAATGGAAGTTGTGAACAACCTCCAGTGTTGCACATGTGAAGCACAACTGTTTACATTTATTCACTCGTATGATTGTATATACTTACTTCCTCGAATAAGTCCATATGTTTTTGACTTGTAAGTCAGTTACCAATGAGCCTGGCTGTAATTCATAAGTTGCCATACCTAGGTTGGTATGACATTTCGTTTACAAGCTTGTACACCAGATATAAGTAAATAATGACGATAAAAATTTTTTGCCATAGCTTTTTCAATTTTTTCACCGTTTATTTGATCAGCTAATTTATCGACGAAGGGATACCTAAGCGATGTTGTGAAAAGTAAACCCATTCGTATCACATGTATTAGTGGCATTTTATCTCCTACAACCACGTTAAAGTGTTCACACAACCTTCGATTTTATTTTTCTGGTATTTTTTGGCATCAAATATTTCTTCAGATGAAAGTGTGGCGCTCTTCTATGCAATACATAATTTAACGCGAATCTTCGATCATGAGAACGATTGAATTTTCACACTGACAAAATCTTGTGACTGTTGTTTTACCAAAAAGTGTACCAGCATGTTTATGCTTTGTGTTTTCACAAAAATTAAAGGTATATTCATCTTCTAGGTGCCCTACATTGAAGTTTTTATGCCTCAGTGACATCGAATGTGACATAATATCTATACACCCTGGTAAGTTACCGTGACTGATTGGCTGAGCTTCAATGTGGAACTTAGCAAATATGTATGGCAGTTCAAGTTGTCGCAATCCATTTAGCAGACAATCGTAGAGAAATGAAAGAACTGTAATGAGGAGAAGTATCTAGGGGAAACAATAGTAAAACGGAAAGGCCTGGGGACTTAATGCATCTGGAAGAATATAAAGGGTGAATGCATCTGCTCCACAAGTAGTTTGGTTTTTAGCGTCTGTATGGTGCTGACACAGTCAGTTCAGCTCCCTACCTGGCTCAAACAAGTCGTCAAAGACTTCATGGATTGGTGTCAGGTTTTTGGTTTGATTACTCAACTATTTTCTACCCATGTCCTATGTCAGATAACATTGGCCGATGAGGAGACTATTCTCTATAGATTTGAGAATACTTTACAAGATTGTTACTTTTAATTTTTTCCTACATTGTTTCTTGTCCTTGTTTTACCCTAATGAGCCATGAAACAGTATAAAATTCGAATCCCACTTCTTGTTCTAGCTTCTGAATAATGGACTTATTTTTGTTGTGAAGAAAGGAAGACATGCCTTGTTAAGTTTACTGCTTTCTCCAGTGGAGCATAATGTGTTAACATTGTTATTGATATTTGTGATTCTCCTGTCTTCACGAATAATCAAAAACGTGTCTTTGAGTTTAGCGGATAATAAATTCAGATATTATAAATATTCAAGAAGTGGTCTGCACTATGGTCGAGCTTCCTCTTAAAAGTGTATTATTTTTTTGTCTCTTATGTTCACATCTTATGGTAAATATAATGGAGTGTGGCGACTTGAACTGCCGCACATATGTGCAAAGTTCTATGCCGAAAACCGACCGACCGAAATATAATCGTTTCTACTAGTTAACAAGCTATATTAGGACTCAAAACGAAACCTGACAACAATCTATGCAATTTTTGACTGGATTAAGCCAGCCGCATAGGCTAGTGACATGGGTTCTCAAGATACTGAGAACCAATAGATGGAGACTGTTGGTGACACGACTCAAAGTAGTTCTCACTCTTTGCGTTCTCTCATGTTCACTAGATCCCCATTTTGTTTCCATGTAACTATTCTTTTTCCCGTATATTTCTGAGTTTCTTTTCTCTGCCTATATGTCTGACATGAAGTGTAGCAACTTGGATTGGTGCACTTCTGTACAAAGCTCTTTTCCGAAACTCATTTCGCCAGTAAGTCAACAATCTGGTGTATGACGCTATGAAGCTTATGGTGGTAGTGGATCCAATGGCTAAATGCAATGATAAGATATAAGTTTTTTGAGGATATTATATGAAATTTCAATCCCCAAATCGACAAGTTACACTTCAAGTGTTCTCCTTTACGAAGTCTACTGTGTAGACAACTTTTGAAATTATACTTTCATCGTAGTTATGTATGTTTTCTGTCTACTAAGTCTGTTAACAATGAAATTCGCTCATGTCAGCTGTCAACTAAACTATCTTTCTTATACTTACTTTATTATAGAATATGGATGCAAATGGTTATCCCGTTATGAATTAAAGAAGACGACAAAAAAGAGATATGACTAATTCTTCTGATCATTCATTTATATTAATTATACATCGTTTACAAAAGAAAATGGATTCATCGTTTAATTTTTATATTGGTCTTTCACTTGCCTTATTGTCAACAATATTTATTGGAACTAGTTTTATATTTAAAAAACTTGCACTACGTCGTGCTTCTAGAAATGGTTCTAGAGCTGGTAAGTAGTTGAAATTATTATTATTATTAATAGCATTGTTATTATTTTATTATTACTTTTCCCTTGCATTCCGAGTGGAACATAGGGCTTCAACAGCACATCTCCATTTCATCCCGTTCTCTATAGTCCTTCTTAGTGGAATCCAGGATTGCTCATATGCTTTCATCTTCGCCTCAAACGACTTCTTACTTGTCATCATTGAGCATCCAGCTCGTTGTTTCCTATTCGGGTCCCACTCGAGGCACTGTTTGACCTGTGATTTCATTCAGTATGTGTCCGATCCGTCTCGGTCGGTCGGTTGGTTTTCGACATAGAACTTTGCACATATGTGCGGCAGTTCAAGTCGCCACACTCCATGTAGCACACAAAGCAAAAGAGGAAAGTAGGTAAAATGCATAATATAGACAGTAAACAGAGGTGTGAGACAAAGGAATAGTAATAACGAAGAACAAAACAGTTTCATTGGAAATCATAAGTCGAAAGGAGTGGATGCATCTGCACCATTGAGAACGATCACTTTGGGCCATGTCACCAATTGTTTGCAACCATTGGTTTTTACCGTCCCGAGGACCCCAACTAGTCAGGAAGCCTACACCTTCCTACGTGGCTTAGACTAACTGTTGTAGATTCCATTGACTGGTGCCATGTTTTCGTTTGACTGCCGCTAGCTCTTTTCCAGCCTGACCCTATATCAGCTAACATTGCCTACTGTCGAGGAAGGCGATGACTAGGCATACGTAGCACATGTCCTAACCATCTCAATCGATGTAATTTCACAGCCTCGTCGATTGATTTCCCCTCCTTACCAACTAGCACTCGACCGGCGCCTAACCTCAATATTGCTCACCTTATTATACCACTTCACGCGGGAGATAGAACGCAGACACCTATGGTCAAAGACAGCTAATCTGTTCATGTCTTCCGCTCTCAACGGCCAGGTCTCACAGTCATAAAGGAGGACAGAGCGGACTGGTGAGCAGTACACACGCTATTTGATCGATAGTCGGATATCACATCTACTTAGTCAGAGACGGGGTAAACTGGCATATGAGAAACTAGCCCCCTGTATTCGTGCTGAGATTTCGTCAGCGATCAACCCGTTGGCACTGACTGATGGTACTTCCCAAATAAGTGAAGCGGTCAACGTGCTCTACCACTTCACTTCCTATTTCTAATCTAAGGGTCGGTGTAGTCCAATCCTGCAACATCATCTTACATTCAGCATGAGTCCAATCCGTCTCCATTTGCTGTCGCATATTTATTGAGCAAATAGGTTGTTGGTTGGTTGGTGCTCTAACTGCCAGACTTTTTTGTTTCTAATATTTTTATGGCCGGCCATTTGATCTTCAGTATAGAGTGAAGACAGGCGCTCATGCCTGTTGAAAATGCTTTCGATGGAACGTGTGCGCCAACTCTCCGAACTATAAAGAAGCACTAACTAACTTGACGTCAGTGTCGGGCAGAATTCATACCTTGTTCCTTACACTGAATGTAGCAAATTTCCACACTGATATCAGGGAATAATTTCGTTGACTTAGAATATGCAGGTGATATATTCCTCCTTCCTAGGTGAAGACGCTGACAAAACGCAGAGTCCTTTGAACACCTTGAGCGGAGAAGCAATCTTCGAGTGTTCGGCACGTAAATCACTGCCGTCAAATGTAACATGATTATGATACAGGACTGGACTGGACTACATTGACTCCTAGCTTAGAAATAGGGAGTGGAATGGTTGGTGGAGCGTGCTGACCACTTCACTTATTTGGGAAGTTGCATCAGCCAGCCCCAAGAGGTTGATCGCTGACGAAATCTCAACTCATGCCAGTTGACGCCGTCTCTGGCGTAGACGTGATATCCGGCTGGCTGTCGATCGAAGGGCGAGTGTACTGCTCAGCAGTCCGCTCCATCCACCTTTTTGGCTAGCTGTGAGACATGGTCATTGAGAGTGAAAGACATGAAAGAACCGTCTAGCTGTCTTTGGTCATAGGTGCATGTGTTCTATGTCCTGTGTGAAGTGGTATAGTAGGGTGAGCAATATTGAGGTTAAGTATCGGTTGAGTGCTAGGTAAGGAGGGGAAATCAACAGACTAGGTTGTGAAGCATCTGCATCGATTGAGATGGATAGGACATTTGTTACGCATACGTCCCTAGCCATCGCCTTTCTCGACGGTCAATGGCAACTGATATAGGGTCAGGTTGGAAAATGGAGAGCTGGTACATAGTGGTTAAACCAAAATATGGCTTCATCAGTCAATCAAATTCACAACAGTTAGTTTAAGCTGGGCACGTAGGGAGTTGTAGACTGACTGGTTGGCGTCTTCGGGATGATGGTGAGAACCAATGCAGACTGGAGACAATTAGTGGTGATATGGCTGGTTCAAAATCCTCGTTGTCAGTGTCGGGGGCAAATGCATCCACTCCTTGTGATTTATAATATTCAATAAAACTATATTGTTCCTCCATATTACTATTCTTTTTGAGTCATATTTCTGTTTATAATCTCTCTCTTTTGTGGAATCTGTTTTTACTCTCTTCTCTTAGCTTGTGTGGTAATTCGAACTGCTGCACATCTGTGCAAAGTTGTTCTACGTTGAAACCAGTCAGTCAGATATCAGAGTAATGAAGGTCTTCTCTCTTGCCTTTCTGACCCTGTCTTGCTTTGACATACTCATCCGTGTCGCCATCTGTGGCTGAAATGATGCTGTTTAGATAAGTGAAAGGGATGATTTCGTCCAGGTTACTTCATAATCTCTGTCTTTTCTGTGTTCGCTTAAAGTTCTGGGAAGGCTAACCGTAAGATCAACGAGCCTAGCCCAGAAAATCAACCAACTTGCTACAGAAACTTTAGAGTACAAAAAATACCACACTACATGAACCTGCATTTATTGTCTTAGGGCTAATGAAACTACCCGTCAATTTGTTCAGACTGAAGTAGACGTAGTAGGATTCGAACTCGAAACTCATTTCAGTTGATATCCTATTCCAAGATTACAATCATATCAATTGTCTCATGAATAGCACTTGGGGAGGAGGATGAAGCACGAGGCATTCATTTTATTTCATTGATGTATCTCTTATCGAAAATCAAAACAAGTGGTGATTCAGTGAAGAGACTCTTTTCAACGAATTTTTTATCTAGCTGTATTATTATTATTGTCTCCTTTGGTTCACAGAGGAACATAGGGCCTCAGCCACACGTCTCTATTACGTTCAGTTCTCCGTCAACGTTTTCATCGCCTGGCTCCACGTCTGCCCATATTCTTTCATCTCCTCTTCACATCACCCTCTCCATTTCACCCTTACACTGACGACCAACTCGCCACTTCCCATTCAGGTTCCATTCGAGTGATGGCCTGGTGTGTGATTTCACTCATTTGATGGTTTGTTTTCTCAGAGTATGGCCAATCCACCTCCATTTCTTTTTGCATATTTGTTGCACAAGTGGTTCCTACTGAGTTAGTTCGCTCCCAGAGATCCATCACTGTTGCTGATTTTTTCTGGCTGGCCATCTGATCTTGAGTAGTATTGAGCGAAGATAGCTGTTGATGAAGGTGTGTAGTTTGTTCGAAGTGCCCTTCGTGACGCGGCGCCAAGCCTCTGATCCGTATAGTAAGTAGCACTGACTGACTTCACATTAGAGTTATCAAGCTGTACAAAGAAATTATATTCAGTGAGGGAATTGAATCATAGGTGTGAATATATGAAATAATAATAATAGTAGTATGAAATGCATTTAAAATATTTGTGATTATAATCATAGTTAAATGTCAAGTAGCAAAACAATTAATATCCTATATAGAACAATTCATAGAATGTATGGAACTTGGAAGGGGTGTGCAATTATAGGATTAGTAGGCAAATGTTACGTAACATTGTGTGAAGCTTGATAACAGAATTTAACGTTGCGACACAAAACTGATTTAGAATGACAACTGGAACAAGTGAAATAATATCGGGGACAGTTCAAAGTGAGAATAGTAATAGTAACTAACAATTGACGTAATAAAGGAAAAGTATGCAAATTGAATAAACAAAACGAAAACATTGGTAGAGCCAAAATATGATTAGAGATTACCATACTTCAGCATAGAGGGATTAAGTCCATGAAAGTTGGAAGGGGCGTTGGGGTTGAACTAACTTTTTCTGTACACAGAGATCTGGCTTTTCTATTTCGATGTTTAAAGCTTCAGCAATACATTAGATGGGTTGGGGACGTAATTTTTTTATTCCTTCACGTTCCCAGTGGAACATAGGGCAACTTCAAGCTAGAGGCTTGAAGTTTCTGTAGCAGTGTTTATTTTTACAGGATGAGGTTGCTAGCCTCATGCCCAACCCTTCCTCTTCAGCAGCTTTATTTCTGACTTAGTGAGGTAAAGGAGTGCGTCGGCCGGGGATCGAACCTCGGACCATGTGCATGGTCGGCGAGCGTCCTAACCGCTATGCCACCGACGCACCGGGGACGTAATGATTTCGGTAAATTACTTTTTGCCTTGTAGATGACTTTAAAGACGGAGGCTGTAGATATCATTGGGTGATAGTTATCGACCAGATGTTCAATGATCGCGCTTCTTATAGCTCCACTTTCACCTCTTCGTAACAACCATGCAGGATAGTTTTTTTGCACCCTCTTGGACACAATTCGAGTCGAACAACTGACAGTTGTGGATTTCATTGACTGATAAAGCCATGCTTTGGTTTGACCACCATATACTTTTTTCCAACCTGATCCATCCTATGTCAATCAGCTAACATTGTCCGTCGAGGAAGACGATGGCTTGTAATGCATGCGTAACATGTCCTAACCATCTCATTCGATGTAACTTCACAGCCTTATCTATTGATTTCCCCTCCCTCCTTACCTAGCACTCGACCGTAGCTTGACCTCAATATTTCTCACCTTATTATAATTTATGCATCTCATATTGAAATGCATAAATTATAAGATTACGTAAATCACTAGAAAATCGTTAATGCACAAATAGTAGGCTATCAAAAAAGCA